AAATTTGTGTATATTAAAAGAATGCTTAATGTTGTAAATGTATCAATTTCTTGAAACAAACACTTGAAACTTTTTATAAAAGAACATTATTATGTACTTGCCTCAAATTTTTTATTTGAAAAAGAAAGGAAAACTTTCAAAATGAATATTTTATTGCTACAAGGAAAATAAAATATTCTTATAGAAATTACCAGAAACATAAACTTTTTACTTGTATCAAATACTATTTATCTTAAATATTTTCAAGGAATAAAGATTGACAGCTCAAGAATTCCAATACTTTTGGCGATAGTATTATCATTAGTTTTCAGTGGCAACGAAAGTCGCTTTCGAATGCTGCAATGAATTGTATTTTTATTCATTTTTAAAACTACTTGTGGGTTTTTGATGACATAGAGCAAGTTAGAGTTCTGTAAATTGTCATGATGTTTAGAGAATTATAATGTGAAAATTAAAGTGAATTTTTGTGTTATAATTTAATAAGTTATAATAATAAAAATTTAGTAAAACTTCATTTTGACTCAATTATAACAATGAAATTTTTTGGCAATTTGTTTTTAAATAATTGTTCACAAAAGATGTAAGGAAAAAAAATTAAAATTTTTTAAACGAACTGTAATTTAAAACTATTTAATTATAGAATTTTACAAGCATAGTCATATATAAATCATTTATTTATAATAAAGCATTTTAAAATTTCATATTTTAAATAAAGCTTCAGATTGTTTATTATATCCACGTGTAATGGTTTCATTAAGAAAAAGCAAGGAGGGATGTTTTACAACGTTTCAATAATTAACATGCAACAGTTCATATAACTGTTTAAACGTCATTTTAAAATCTCAAATCATTATATACAATATATATTAAACTTTTTTTCATTTGTTTTCTCCAAATCTAACTGCGAACTTCAGAGCACCAAAAATTCAATCTATATATTTTTTTATATTATTATTTAATTATTTCCTAAAAATTGCTAAATTCAACCACGGTGGTTTTGAAATACGGCCGTGTTAGTTCGTTTCATCCTCACCAGTAGACATTCAGCGACGAACATTTTGATTGAGAAGAACCACTGGTCCACCCTGCTGCGCCCCAAGGCTCTTTTCAAGAACCAGGGCGCACAGAAGTCGGTCTGAAGTAGCACCGGTTTTCCGAACACCCTTCAGAGAGAGGGGAGGGTGTTTCGAATGTAGATCGGAAAATGGCTTCGTTTCTATCGAACACCGGTTGGCATTGGGGTTGGCTAAGGAAGGACCTCTTCTCATAACACCACTTCCATGCGATTCCCTCGCCTATAGATTTTCACCTGGCCGGGTTGGACTTCAGTTAGACCGGCGCATTTAAATGCTAAGACGACGCTTTCTTTGCCAAAGTTGGCTTCGAACCTGCGAAGAAGTAAGACTTTCTTATTTATATGTTTTCAAAAAGGAAGTCCCTGTAATAAAACATCAGTTTCATGATAGCACTGTTGGTAAGGCTTACAGATTTTGAACTCCGACAAAAACGGCTGTGCAGGGTCTCATCGGATTCAAAGGACAGTCAAGTTCCAAGGCGAATGATACAAAAGGAACGAGATCACAGCTCTGAATGCCAAAGTTTGTCGCCATTCGTTATTGTTTATATCTTGATCTATTTTATATGAAAGAATAATGCATATACCGGGGAAATAAAGTATATACATAGTTTATATAAAGGACTAATGTATGTACATAAATTATTAACGGGCTTTTCTAACCTCACAACTTTAAAGAAGTGCGCGATGAAAATTATTATTACGTATTCATGAAGTATAACTCAAAGTGTTTCTTTTAAATAACAGACTAAGTTAAGTAATTTTCACGTGGTAATGTCGATGGAAATTGTCTTGGAAAATGAATCCACTTTTTGCATATCCGGGAGAATAGACATAACTGTGGAATGTGGAACTCGGAGATCCATCACGCGTAATTCGCTCATTCATTCGCTCCCCTGCCACGTTTGTGCCGCGCGGGTCCATGGCCCCTTCCACGGTACCACTGCATTGTGTGTAAAAGGAACATTGTCCCGATGCAGAATGAAACCATTTTGCCAGAGTTGGACGCTTATTCCCCCCTTTTTCCAGCGGAAAAGAAAACCGCCACTCGGAACTGTGACAAAGTGGTTTATTTTGCATCAAGACAACGCTCCTTCGAATACAGCTCTCTGCAAAGCAGTTTTGGGTTAAAGAGCAGATTGCAACACTGGAATTTCCGCCATATTCCCCTGAATTAGCTTCCTGTGCCTTTTTCTTTTCCTCAAGAAATGAAATGTGCACTAAAGGCAACCCTTTTGGTGTTATTGGAATTGTTGCGGAGAAAACGCCACAGCTATTAAAATAGTTATCCAAAAATTACTTGCAGCACGCTTTTGACCAGTTGAAAATAGGTCGATGTATTCGTGTCATTTGAAGGAGACAAATGATGTATTCGGCTTAAATTGTAAATGTCCTTTGAGAAAACCCTGCTCTTATACATGATAAGTAGACCTAGTTGTGTAAGTTATCGAATCTCTCAAACAGTCAGTTATTTGAAAATTTTAGCTCACGTCATTCCTTGCTTATTATTTAAATGGGAAATTATTTACTATAATAGATAAAAAAAGACAAAAAGAAAAAGTAAATTTCACGCTAAAACTGTGTTTTTTAAAACACAAATATGTTCCGATCGGCCATTCGAAAAATTTTAAGTTGTCCATAAATTAAATGAAAGTAGAATTAGACCCGATTATCCAAACTCGTAAAATTTCTTCAGGGATGCATGAATAGACTAATAGGAATTGCATTTCGCTTGTCATTCCAAAGTTCTCGGATAAGATCCTATTCATCATATAAAACTACAATATTTATTTTTTCTTTTATTCTCAGTAGCAGTTTTGATAATTAAGACTCGCGAACAGTAAACTCCATTAGTTCTTCCCTTTCATACTTAGTCTCGAGACATTCTTTGAACTTTTCATACTTTCTATAGTTGCGGGAAAACTTTCCACAATGTCCCAAGCTCTGGTACCTTTTACCGTTGCTCGAAATAACTCATTGAAATTTATCCTTATTTCCCATCAATTTATCTTCATGAATCCCTTTGAATTGATTCCAAAATGTAAGCCACTTTTTCACTTCAACGCCATATTGTTTCAGTTCTATCTCTGGCTACTTAAGTTTTCTTTTATTAAAATTTGGCAAAGCATAATCCGAAACAGAAGCAATTTTTGACTTAACTTGGTTGCTGAATAAACTTTTGTGCTTTCATGTTACTGCGATTTTAATAACATTCTAAACAAGAGTTGGGCGCATCTCGGCCACATTTGGCTCGTTCGCTATAAAAACGTACATACTTTGTGCTTTTATTATCCCGAAATCCATTTATTTGTTCCTACTTTTCAATGTATGCTTATTCTATGTCATATTCTTCATTTACTTTGATACGACTTAAAATTTCATTATCTGTTTCTTAAAGCTGTGAAAATAGACACTCCAAAGTATAGTCAATTTCGTTTCTATGCTCTCAGCATTGGGGGCTTCTTTGCTTGTTAGTTCTACAATTACAGCATTAAAATCGCTAGTAAGTTATCTTTGAATAGGTTCACGTTTCCTAATAAAAACCACTCATTTCTTTACAATAAGTTAACCCTAAAATTAAATTGCAAGAAATATTATTCACTTTTATTATCACTCACATCATTATTCTCTCTTATCACGTCCGGGTCATCACTAATTTTGAGTTGCCGATGAATTACTTATTCAATCTTCACTCCAGGATAATTTATTTCATTTCTTACAAAGAAGAAAACACATTAGATTAACATCTTTAGAAAGAAAAGTCCTTTTTCGAACTGTTGATAATTTTAACAACATCAAATTAAATTATTATCGCCAGAAATAAAGTATGGCTGTATGTAACCTCATCTCTTTTGCAATTTTTTTAACGATTTCGCGAAGCAACCTGACGCAAACAAGACAAGCGCTATTAGTTCCAGAGAATTGGCATCATCTATATCTTCTGGTTCGTATTAATCAAATGCATGCAGATGAGGACATAAATTAGAATTTTAATAGGTTGAAGGAATGTGTCTGAACTTGATATTTATTGTTCAAGATTTATGCATAGCAGTTACTGGGAAGATTATTTAACTGAACATTATGCTGAGAATCATTGTTGGAAATATTTGCAAATGACATGTTGTCTTGCGCATGAGACAACTTACGATTGGACGAGAGATGGATAAACAAATCCCTCGTTGGTAATGGCAACCCAGTGATCATAGTCTCTGAGTTCGTGACCGACGATGTTTGAGTTCTGATTCCACCAAAGATTTATCGCGGTGAAGGATTCAAAATAGACTTAGTGTAGATCGGCGTGGATGTGGAGAAAGGTCTCCTCAGATCTTTGTGCTGGACAGAAATTTACAGCTGGAAGAATTCAATACAACACAAAAGATTGCACTGTGCAAAGCAATTATAAAGTACATACTCGCCTCTGGTTCCAAATTCGCCTGATAGAAATTCCATCTAGTACCTCTTGAGTGGAATTTTTAAAAAGAGTATAAAAATCAACCTAAATCAGTGGTTCCCGACCGGAGGTACGCGTATCCCTGGAAGTACTCGAAATGCCGTTGTGGGTGCGTGAAAAGAAAATTGTATGGTGGATACTCAGCTAAAAATGAACAAATAATTTTAAGAAGTAGTTGGAGGTTTTTACTAATATTGTCAGTTGTAATATTGATCTCCCTCTTAATAGAATCTTCAATGGAAGAAGTATGGTCATGTCTTCATCTCGCCAGAATTCACAAGCTCCTCGCGATTCACTCTCTCTCAGTGTTTTCAGATATGTTTGTTGACGTATGCCAGGGGGTGCTTCTCATTGGTATTGTTTCGGGAATCTGTGTAATAGGTGAAAAAGATTGGGAGAAGAGGAGGGAATGCCTGTTGCACTCGGGGGGGGGAGTACGCGAAAAGAACCGAATCAGTTCGAGAAACGTGAGTAGTCAGAATGGCTGAGTGGTCTAAGGCTCCAGATTTAAGTTCTGGTTCTCGAAAGAGGGCAGGGTTTTGGACCCCATTTCCGACATCTTTAAGCCCTCACGGGTCTCCTTCTTTAGGTAGGTACGGGAGTCATGATCCCGAGGACTCGAAAGTACCTTTTTTCTTTTCATGGAAACTATCTTTGGCAAACACGGGTGACGTATTCCTGGGATTTCCAAGCGATCCTTCTCTATTTTTGACTTTCATTCTAGTCAACCGTATTTTGCCTTATGTTCAAACGTCTAGATCAGAGTAACACGTTGTTTTGGCACAGCATAACCATATTTAGTTCTTGCACCATTAAAACCCGCAATCACTCTCGCTCTCACTGGGGGTAGGCGTGCTAAAAAATATTGGAAACCGCTGACCCAACTGATTACTTTTGAAAAATGACACACACCAGGGGAACTCCTTCTATCTTATGAAATTCATATCTTTCATCGTGTACCTGTGTTTACAAAGGTCTGAGGAGGGCCCTAAAATGCATAGATTTGGTTTGATCAATGGTAATTCGAATAGTTATATGCAAAATTACATTTAAAGAACGTTAACAACTTTAAAATGTAGGGATTAACTCTTTTGCACTTCTTTCTACATGGTTGTCACGTATTATATATATATGAAAGTAAGCTATAAATTGTGTTTTGCATTTTTTTATGTCTGTGTGTTAAGAGACAGGAAGTGTTGCTTACTCTGTGGCTATGTTGACTTCGGGGGGTTTCCCAGTGGCATTTTGGATGACTAGAAATAGTTTGGTCACGATCTCTATCACGTGACCCGTCTCGAACAGGAAGTCGCCCTTCTTCCGCGTCGCCTCAGACTGCAAGAGATCCAAAGCATTGAAATATAATCGTAACAAAGACGTAAAATAAACTTGCAAATAGTTGTATATTAAATTGTGAATTTTTCTTCTGCACACTTAACGTACATTCTTCAAAATAATTTGGAGTGCGCGTGATGGGCAAGAAGAAATTGTTATTGACTGAATTATCATTGTTAATTCTGATGGTCATAATTTATTTTCAATGGCTTAAAAATTTATTTAAAAGAACAAAAAAAAATTAAGCTCGAAAAATGTATTCAGAGTTTAAAAACAAGAATAATCTAAGAACAGTGGTTTACAATGTGATTAAATAATTGATTAAAAAATAACACATTATAAAATTCCCTGCCCTCTTGGTTATATAACAGTATATTCTGATTCCTTAAGGCTTCCTCTACTGGCCATTTTGATTTCGTGAGCGTAACGTTAATCCTATGGAAATTCTACTATCGCTCCCAAATCTTTATTATTTTATCTATTTGAATTCTGTGAAGGGTATCCGAAAGAGCAAAAAATAACGGAGGTTCCTGCGGAGTGAGAAATGAACTATTTTTACTCTTATTTTAACGACTCGTTCGTGGATTTTCCGGTCTTTAAAAAATATTCTACAATATCTTAGAAATGTAATTCCTCAGAAACCTTCATTAATTTTTGCTTACGGATGCACTTAGTTGCATTTCAATGTATAAAATAGTAAAGATTTGAGAGTGGTCGTTGAAATTCCATAGGATTAACATTACGCTCACGAAATCAAAATGGCTGGTAGACGGGACCTTAAATTAATAATTCAAGCGATAAAAGAACTTTCTTAAGATAGAACGCTGCGAGTTGTATCTATGCAAACTTGTACTTACCGATCGTACGTGGAAGACGGCCAGATCGTCCATGAAAGGGCTGAGTGATATCCGGAAGATGTCCGTGGCCGGAATCCGGTACTTTATCTGCAGGGTCCGTTGGTCCATCACCAACATGGCGCTCGTGCTCACAACAAACAGAGTTTGGAGGCACTAGAGCAAAAACGAAAGCTCAATGAAGCACTCACGGATTCTGTTGATTTTCAAGGACTGTCTGCCAAGGATCTGACACGTAGGATACAAGGGCCCTGCACGCTAATTCTACGCGTAGTTACGTTTCAATTCTGGATTAGCGATTTTTAATGGATGGCTTTTAAAGCTAGATTACTTAAATGGTCAAATTCACTAGCGATGTTCCTTTCCCTCAAAAGTTTTCTACTGTCTAATGTCATGTTTTATAGGAGACTAGAAAGAAGCTCATAATTATCCACCAAAATCATCTACCCATTTGAATTGGTCATTTATTTGGTTACCTTTTAATTGATGCAAGAAATGAATGAGCAAGTTAATACAGAGATTTCTTCGACAGCAACTTGTCTTATTCTCGACTGCTTTTAGGACGGTATTTGTTCATTCGTTATGTTTACGAGCTCTTGACCGGTTGGGCTCGGTCATGGATTTATCGTGCGAAGGAATGGGGCACGTTAAAGAGAACTGGATGACGGGCATATTTATATATATATATATATCCCATCTGTCGACTCGCCACATCTCTTTCGATATTATATTTTATGTTGATATTCAGGAAAAGAATACAGTCGTTCAGAGTAATGAATGTTTGATTTTATTTTATCATTTTGAACTTTTATGCAATTCCACTTCCTAGCCGTAACGGGCGCCCGCGTTGGGGTGGCTCACGCGGCAAATGAGAGCAGGAAACGTTAAGTGGCGCATTTATGTACAGGGAGGGATACGGGAGCTCTGCGAAATATAATTATGGGAGTCATCATTTAAAAAGGAGCTCGCTATGTACTATAACACGTGCTACTCGTAAGAGGAAATAAGATTTTTTTTTAAATATTTGTCATGTTAAGAAATTGGAATACAGAAAAAAAGAAGTAAGCATTCTATATAAAGTTTTGCAAGGAACAGATTTAGCCACCCAAGGTGCGTTTTTTTTATAATTATTATTAAATTATTGAATTAAGTATAAGAATTGAAGTAAACGATGAAATATCAAGAAATGGGGAATAGTAAACTTTTCCGATATTAAAATTAAAGGAAACGATAAATAATTAAATTGAAAATTATATCAGCTACATGTAATTAAAGTTAATGCAAATGATAAATTATTGCATTGAATATCATATTAGCTAAGTGTAATTAAAACTCAAACAAACGATAAATTATTAAATTGAATATATTTAAGCTAAATGTAATTAAAATTAAAGCAAACGACAAAAAATTGAAACGATATCTGGTACTCCAAAAGTGATAAAATAATAGCCCCTTGGGTGGCGAAAAAGATAAATTGATTTATCGCGCAATCAGTATATCCAACTCTTGTTAGATAGCAGAAAATTCAAAGGAGCCATCTTGCAACAGTAGCCTTAAATAGCTTAACGTAGGCTGCATATTTTCAATTGTAGAATAGGTGATTATTTTTGGAATCTCTCTGTCAAGATTCGGAAAAATTTTGCGTTTCTTAAAGGAAGAAGAATTGAGAGGAGAAGAAGAAGGGGTCACTGACCTTTCCGCTCGCCCGAGCGATCTTGTTGATGATGTCCGCGAAGACGACGTACTGGTCGCCCGTCTCGGCGGCGATCTTCTTCCACTTGACGTTGTGGCGAAGACGGACGTAGTCGCCGCGGAACGGATGGGACACGCTGCAAACACAACACGCGTCATCTTGAGCTTCGGACCATTTTGGCTGCCACATACTGATCATCACAATTTAATAGCTTACCCAATGTGTGGTGTCAAGTTTTAAATGCATCTGCTTTGAACTTATCTGACTTGAAGGATGGAAAAACCTCAACTGTGTATTGTTTGCCTTTCTCTCATTTGAAATTGGCATTTTTTTTTACACACTATATAACCCTGTTCAATTTTTTTCAGTCAATGTGTTTTAACACATGTCTTCATCTTTATGTGCCTTTGAAATAAAATTTACGAAAATGACCCTGAGATTTTTTTTAAAAATAAATGTTTGGCGTTGCGTAATCTAATTTGGCTCTTGCGCCATAAAACCCAACATTCACACGCTCACTCGGCTCATTTTGGTGGGAGAATGTTCCAAATGATACCATCTTTCAAAAAAGGCATGGGGGGGGGGGGAGCAACATCCCCGCAACATATTTGTTTTTTTAAAAAACACGTGGCTGTTTACATCCTATTTGAAGTCGTATTTTCTTAATCAGACGATTTTGCTTTGGATTCGAGAACATTCAACAATTTTTTTGAAATGAATAGGCGGACAATCTCTCAAAATTGGAAACGGAGTCCAATGACTGGATTGCCCCAGAAGGTACCAATAACAATATTTTTAATGACAGAAGGAAAATAACCAATGAAAACTTTTATTCAAGCAAATGTTTCGAAATTTTTGCAAACATCCCAAAAGTAGACATAATATCCAGTTTTTAAGAAAAGCAGAATGGAGGAAACATTATGCACTCGAATCATGAGCAAAATCATCACAACTCGCTTTTGCACAAATTCAATTTAAATGGTTATCTGTAACCGTTACAATGATTTGGAACATATTTTTTTTGACTCATATATATATATATATCCCATAGAAATCACCTCCGGAATATATTCAAGATAAAGCCACAACACAATATTATTTTCAAAAAATGTTTGAAAAAAAAAAAAAGAAAAAAGAAGTTGCCAATGAACAAGTGTTCTGAACATTTCTTACCGAAAATGAAGTATTTTGATATCTATTGAATTAAAAAATATTTTCTACTTTGTATTTCATTAAGTACACCAATCAATCATAAACTGTGTCATTTTAAACAGAAGTTTTTCAATCAGTTTATACATTTTTAAATTGTTCTACATAACATTTTGTCAGTTAAACTTGTAACGTTTTCAACAAATGTTTGGCGCAGCCTAGCCCGATTATTTTTTTCGCCATATACTCGCTATCACTCACTCCATATTTAGTGTTGCAACTCTGAAGTTTGGTAAGCGTTTTTTTTTTAACGAAATTTTTTTTTACATATAAGAAAAAAATAGGAAGAGAACGAAACAATGACATTCTTTCTGTAATTATACTCGTGTAATTGTGATTGTATGAGTTATATTTCGTGCAATGAATTTGATTAATTTTAAAACTTAATCTTTATATTTTACCCCTATTTTATATCGACATTCTTTTGCAAATATATTTTATAGTTATATTCAAGCTCATTCTAATATTCA